AATCTTCATTTTATAAGTTAGTTTTAAAAAACTGAGTTGAATTTATTCAAACTTCCTTAAGAGGTAAAGAATTGAGTTGCAAACATAAGATAAAAGTGGCAATGCCAATATTTTTCTACTAATGGGTTTTATTCATGTTAGTAGATTTTGGTCTTATTACACTTTTAAACTTAACTTCCTAATGAATTTGAAGAAGTCAGAAATAATTATTTTTTACAAATTAACTTACAAAAAAATTTATTTTATTTTATTTTTTATAGAATTACTTTAAGAGAGGTTGTAGAAACAAGTCCAAACAACACGTATACCTATACTTGACTTCTGAATACTGTTTGAAAAAGACCTTGAGAAATAGTTAATAAATGTTGGGGAATTAATCGCAGCCACGGTTTCATTACAACCAGCATGGTAGCATGACTCCCTCAAAGGTGTGCCTATGGTCTTCGGATGCAGTGTTCAGGACCACAAGCATGAATCAGTTTGTCCAAACATAAATTAATTCACATTAATTAATGCTAATTGAGGTGGTAGAACATTTTAAAACTCATTGCAACAAAACATTGTAAGTCATTTCGATTTTGTTTTGTAGCCCCAACTTCTAAAATTCAACTAATCTTGATTCTGTAGCATATATGGATAAATAAAACTTAATCTATCTCTAGAGAACCTTCGATGGACAATATTTCGAACGAAAATCTTATAAATATTTCTGTAAACACCAATTAAATGGGGGCAATGATCCCAATCCTAAAGAATGAAATAATTTTAGTGGATTAATCTCGAGTAAAATGTAGACAGTTGTATTTCTTCTGAGAGAAAAAGAAGACCTAAGAGGTCAAATCCATAGGTTTGGTGTAAGACCTATATACCCATTTTGCCAAGTTTGTCAAATTGGATTGGCTCCAGAAATTATGGGTTCAATCACTTTTGAAAGAAAGTCAAACTAACAATTTATATGTTGCCACTGAGGATACACGAGATAGTCGTTAGAAAAGGATGCATATCATTAAGCGTTTGTAAATAAATAGGTTAGCTTAAAGTTGAAGTTAATATGCATTTAGACTAACAATTTTTCTAAGATGATGCAATTTGGATGCATATAATAATGTTATAAACAACAGATGACTAGAAAAATATTGATAAGCACGCGCGCACGACTTTGATTCTGACATAAACAGATAAATAATTTTTTGAAATTGGACAAGATTGAGTTTAGGAGCATCAGGCCCAAAATTAGATGCTCTTCCATAGCCACTAAGGTATATAATTTATACAAATATTGTGGTCCAAGAGTGATATGATGAGCTCCAAGAGACCAAATAGAGGTATGTGTCTAGGTTTATCTTTGGAACAATGTGATAATCACTTGACAAAGCTAGAGAAAAGACGCGTGTCCCTGTCATTAACTTTAGCAATCATCATTAGTCACTAAGTAATCTTTTTCAAGGTCACAAAATCGTCGTTTTGTCAAGCAATGTGGGAATTTCAAAGCTTAATAAAAGAGAATGTGAACACTTTAGGGAGTTGGCGGTGATAAAACTAATCAACACTTTGGGATCCATTTAAGTAAGCAAGAATTATGTTTAATAAAGTAGGTCTTGATTATCCGAAAACGACACCTGCTTTTAATTAATTTTATAATGATAAGATATATATGGGCTTTTTAAATCATTTTGGAGCGTTGTCTTTATTTTAATATTACCAATTTGATGTAACTTTATTGTTTTTAAAATTATAAAAGCATGACATATCATGAATATCAACAACGACATTACTAATTTCTTTTGCCAGACTTGAAATTGTGCTGAAATGCTCTCTTTTTGTATATTCAGGGTAATTATGCCGATTGGGAAGGGTCATGTAGGGTAAGAGGATAGACTTATATTGTAAAATATATTAGTAGACTATGTTTTGTTTCATGTAAGGGATGGGTATCATTTATACCGTTTATATCCTTTACAACCAACAAAATACTAAGAACAGAACAAATTAGTAATTACTAGCTAACCAACCAGGTTAGGACTAAAGTTTACAAGTTACAACCAACAAAACTAAAATACTTCATAAAACTTAAAGAATGAGAGGTTAGTCATCCACGCATTCTCTGCTCATTGTGCTCTGCAAATTGAGAAATAGTGATCCACAACCCTATAGTACAAATGCTGGTTGCTTTCATAACCAAAACATATTCCACCAGGATTTTGGTGCTCTTGTAGTTATTCATAGACCAAAAACTCTGAGCTCTCAATCTCCCTCAAACTGAATCATTGTGAGAAAAGACTAGTTGAAGTTCCTTTGCAGACTATGTAACGAGGACCATGAAGAAAAGATAATTTCTTAATGAAATTTCCAAATGCAAGTTGATGCGTCCTTTTGGAATCAATACCATAAGTCAAGTTGGAGATTTTGTATTAGAGACAGTTGTGGCAATTTATGACTGCTAAAACTGAGGTACATCTTGTTTGTTTGCTACGATGTTAGCCACGGTGAAAAAAGCTAGAAAGGGATAACTTTAAACATAATAGTCAAAAAAAAAAAAACAGACACAACTTCTTTCCCTTCTAAATAGAGAACTAAACTTAATAAAATCAAAAAAGTATGATTAGAACTCGTGCAGTATACTCCTTTTTACATTGACTAAACGACAACCGGTAAAATTACATTTTGAGAAAGAGGATAAAATATAATATTTTTTTCTTTTAATTTTAGTTGTTTCTAATATAAAATTTTATGTTATGTTGTACCTTCCTCCATCTACAAAATCTTTGTTACGTTGGTCACTCGTGGGGACATTGAAATTGTTATCACCCCCAATTATAAACAAATTTACTGGTAGAAAGTTTCAAATTCAACTCGAATATAGTCATGAGTAGAGTTATATATTATTGACTCCGTTGTTTACTTTATTAGTGGTAGTAATCATTTATTATAAATATTTATTTTACCAAAAATATATAGGCAACAATTTCCTTGTGTCCCTGAGATTCATCTTGTTAATCAAGGAAGAATAGAAATCATCAATATAATTTATTTTTGTTATTGGTAGTTTACCTATATTTTGTTTGGTTGTTCATTCTTTATGTTTTAGTAGTTTTACGGTGAATAGCATTTTCAACCTCCGCACGAGTGCAATAATGAAGTTGTTGATCTGGAGAATCCCAATATATATATAATAGATGCAGGAAAGTCAACACGGACTAACACAAAAAGAGAATATTATAATAGAATAGGTTAATTAATTAAATTGGAGAGCACATGAGTCATAAGATTCCATCCTGTGGTGGTACCTGAACAGGATGGGTCTTGTAAAGTTGTCATGTTGTAGCAAGTAGCTATGAAAATGGGAAGAGGAGAATAGAGGGGTTGTGCTGACACTACTTTTGTAATATAAATATAAATAATTAAAGGATATTGATTTTTAATTTTATACAGGAATATTCCTTTACATATATATACACACCATAGCTCAATTATTAAAGGGTCTTTTACTGTATTCTGGTGAATACGTATAATAACCCAAAATTTAAAATATTTATTGAATTAAAATATAAAAATAATTCAATACTTATTTTCTAAGTAATTTTAAATATTAATAAGATATATTCATCAGATTTTTACACCGTATGTTTATGAGCGTATAATAGGGGGAAAAAACCCTTTTATTAATGGTAGGACCATTGTAAGCTTGTAATGGTTTTATTAAACAATATTTATTTATTAAATAAATAAGTATTTATCTTTTACACTTTAAATTATTAAGTTTTTAAATGATTCTAAAAGTAATTCTTGATAAAATTACTCTATTTAATAACTCATAGTGTATGTTGAATTTTATTGATCTAACCATTAATTTAAAAGTTATCAATATATAAATCAACTCTACAAAATTTTAATAAAAGTTTGAAAAATATTTGATACATCGTTTCATTAATTCAAATTGACGAATAATTATAAAAGCATTTTATACATTAATTTGAATCTATATAACGAAGTATCATATAATTTTCAAATTTTTAAAAAATTTGTACACTTAATCTATACATTAAGAACTTTTACTTTAAAGATTAGATCGTTGAAATTCAATATCTACCATAAGTTATTAAGTAGAGTAAGTCATATTTTACTTCAAATTTCAACGATTCAACCTTTAAAGTAAAATTTCTTAATGTATTTATCGGGTATGTACATTTAAAAAAAAATTGTAAACTATATAATACTTCGATATGTATATTTAAATCAACGTATAAAATATTTTTATGATTATCCATCAATTTGAATTAATGAAATGAAATATCAAAAAGTTAAAAATAAAAATAAAAAAAATTTACTCGTAAAACAAATGAATCATTCTTTTTTCTCTCTGTCATATATATATATAGGGAGGGATCAAACTACTCTGAGAGTAACTATTGATAAAGTTATTTTACTTAATAACTTATGATATATATTGAATTTTAATAATCTAACCGTTAAATTAAAAATTTATCTAATGTATATATCAAGTATACAAATTTAAAAAATAAAAATAAAAAATTATATAATACTTCAATATATAAAATATTTTTATAATTATCTATCAATTTAAATTAATTAAACAAAATATCAAATAGTTTTAAAAAATTTTAAAAAAATTATATACTTAATCTATGCATAATTTTTTTTTTAATTTAATAATTAAATTATTAAATTTTAACCTACATTATAAGTTATAGAGTGAAATAATAAAAAAAAAATTTATTTGATACTTCCTCGTAATATGTAACTTGTAGAAAGTAGAAACATTGACAATCACCTCCCTAACCAGGCCAATCCCAAATTTAATGAGCCGTATCTTTTTTCACTAAACCACCTTTTTCTTCTCAACAATATCAACATTTTTCTCTATTAATTACAACATTACATGGGTTGTAAAGTCAATGGGTGAAAAAAATTAACAAAGTTATCCTACTATATATATATAATATATATTTGACACAAGTAAAACTTGGAAGAAGAAGAAATTGAAAGCAGCACTACACAGTGGTTCCGTGATATATAATGAAAGTAAAGGAAAAGGAAAAGGAAAATTACAAGAGTTGCATTGCATGTGACATTTCTATATTTTATTAAACTCCTATGGGACCTCATATTCTCTCTCTGTCATCTTCAATTTACACTTTACACATAAATATATTTATGAGCGCTAAAACATGTACACCCACTATATAGCTGGCCCATGTGAACTGTTCTTAGTGTTTAACGATCTTTACTCTGACGATCGATGATCGATGATCGATGATCGATGATCGATCCCAGTTCATGGCGGCCGGAATGTGACCCACATCTCCAATGATCTGCTTTTAAGCTGGCCCATTATCAGAAAGTGTGTCAGATAGGTACCTTGTGCACCACCATGCCATGCCTCATTATTAAACAATTGAATTTTATAGTGCAGGTAGTGTTTGTGCCACAACCCTTTTTCTCCTAACCCCAAATTCCAAAAATCAAATTCAATTAAATAATTCAAATCCCCACAAAAAATATATTATTAAAACTAAAATTAAACTCTCCTTCCAATCAGAAACTTCCTTATCTTGTCTCATTCAACGGTGTCCACTGAAGAAAGTTTATTTGTCGCAATCTCATAACGGCTATCCCCTTCATCTTCCACACTCTCTAGATCTCCCTCTTCGTTATCATCCTCTAATTCTTCTTGTTCTTCTTCTTCTTCATCTTCTTCTTCTCTATCTCTTCTTTCATATTGCCCTTCATTGCTCTCCTTCGCTGCACCTTGTTCATATTCAGAGGGAGGTCTCCATTGCTGCTCCGGTTGCACCATCAGTGGCTCCATCATCTCATGTGCCTTCATGTTGTGGAATGAAGCGCCAAAGGGATTCTGAGTTTTGCTCTTTTCTCTGTATAGGGCATCGAGTTCATGAAAATAGGGACATGTCTTACTATCCTCACGCCTTTGCTTGTTGCTTTCCTTCACCTTCTTGAAGTACTTGTTGATGTTCTCCCATTTCTCCTTGCATCTTTTGGCACTCCTGTTGTATCCGAGCCTCGACATTCCCGCGGATATATCCTCCCACAATGGAGCCTTTGGTCCATTTTCTTGGTACTTAGGTTCAAGACTCGTCCTCAACCTTATCAAAGCATGAACTTCTGTCTTTGGCCACCTTGAAGAAGATAAAGAACTCAATGGAGTACCAGTCGCAGTAGCAGCAATAATAGCAGTAGGAGCAACCGCACTGTGACCATTATTCAGTTTCTGAATTTCAATGTTGTTGTTATTATTAGACATCATTACTTGTGTTTGTGGTTGTGGAGCTTGTGGTGGTGGTGGTGGTGGCTGTGGTGGTGGTTGTTGGAAGAAATTGGCAACGGCTTGTGTTGTGGGATTTTGGTGCTGACCAGATAACTGTTGCAAAAAAGCAATAACTGCTGCATTTTTGGCTGCCGCAGTTGATCTTTCTTGAACAAGAAGTTCATGTTCTCTATTGATCCTTGCCATTTCTTGGATCCTCCAAGCCTCTTGTTGTGCCACGTGTTCTCTCTCCCTTTTGTCTATGGCTTCGAGGAACCTCTTTTGCATTTCCTCTTGCTTGACCAAGACTTGCCTCGTGAGCCTCCTGAAGTAGTCCTTCCACTTTCTCTTCTTCCGGTACTTCTCTTCCAAGTCCTCATCCGAGGCCGTGGAGGAAGAGGTTGAAGTGGTTGAGAAGAGGTTGTTCATGTTGGGCAAAGAGAAAGGGATGTTATTGTTATTGTTATTCTCATTGTTGTTGGGTTCCGGAGGGTTTCTAGGGTTGGTTGCTACTGTTGGAGAAGTGACGGTGATGGTGGTGGTGGTGGCGGCGGCATTGGTTGGTGGTGGTGGCGAAGGAGATATGACTGTAGGGTTTGTGGAGGGAACAGTGGTGGTGACATAAGAGATTGGTGTTGTGTCACTAGGCCTTGTTGTTGGAGGTGGCAATAATGCCACTGTGTTTGTTGTTGTTGCCAAAGTGGGTAGTGGTTTTGGCGGGTAAGAGAGTGGGAATTGGTTCTCAAGGGCTTGTAATTGATCAAAGAATTTATAGGTTTTTCCTTCATGTTTGCCACTTCTGCTCTCTTTGGTTCTTTTGTGGTACTTGTACACATTCTCAAATTTCTCCTTGCACTTCTTTGCGCTTCGGTGATAACCCAGTTCCGCTAGTTTCCTACACACGTGTATAGAGAGAGTGAGAAAGAGAGAATGATCAAATATTATCATCATACACATATATCCATCGAAAATAAAAACAAAAAATAAAGCTACTGCTTTTCACGTAAAGACGGGTAAAATTTTAGACGGTTTCCCCGTACTAATAAAAGCATAAGGGTGGTTAACACCTAAAACAGTACTCAACAATAAATAAGACACAAACTGATCAAATGAAAAGCTGAAACCAAGAAACTAAGAAGACTCAACAAAATTTGATTCAGCAAATCCTGCACAAACATATATATTAAACTCAGCATGATTCATTGCAACTACATATGGACTCGTTATAGTTTAGCCAAAGGATGTGCTATTCATAAGACAAGATTCCGTTAGAAGAATTTCAGCTCATGATTTGAATGACATATGGGTAATCTTATTGCTAGGAACTCTAAGAACATGATCAATTAACATATATATCATATATATGTATACTTGAAAACATAAATTGTATGATATGCCCCCCCCCCCCCTCCCTTCCAATTGATTCATTGATTTGTTTCCAAAAGAAAAAAAAAAAATCCACTGACAGCAAATGGGTTTGAAAAACTGATTGGTCTGGAAATTGATAACGAATTGACAAATCTTCATGCATGATCTTGAAGAAGCTAGCTAGCTTCCAGCATAGCTTCTTGAAAACGGTAGAAAAGAAAAGGTGAATATAGACAAAGATGAAGAAGCTGACACAACACAAGAACAAGATATACATAGATATGGATAGTGAATTCAGTTAAAAGATATGTATATATATACGTGTATGTACCTTGCAACTTGTTCCCAAAGTGGACCCTTAAGACTTGAATCTCGAAACACAGCATCCATATCGGACCTTATCTTCAAGAGAGCCAAAGTTTCTTGGCGTGGCCATCTGTTTCCCCCGCAAGAGTTAGTGATCTTGTCACCTTCTTCTTCTCCGGCACCCTCCTTTATCTTCTCCTCGCCGGAATTTGCGTCCACCATGATGACCTCTCCGCCGTCAAGCGCCGCCACGGCCTCCCCGGAGGAGGTTTCCAACACTGTGGTGTCTCCGAGCTGCATAGAGAGAGAGAGAGAGATGTCCCTACCTAGCTAGGTAGCTAAGCAATTACAGCGCTTGAGAAAAAAAGGGAATATATGAGAAAACAAAGGGAATAGTATAGTCTCAGGGGTTTTATTATGCGCATGGAGAGAGGATGCTTTTGGGGCTGAATAGATTTGTTTATTTTTAGGTGGTGGGATCTGTCAATTTCATCATAGAAAAATGCAAATATTAGCCTTTAAATAAGCCTAGTTAACTTTTTCTTCCTCTATCTGTGTATGATTATTATTCTTCTCATTATTTTATTTTTTATGATTAGGGCTGTGGAATCTTCCCTTATTTTTTATTTTCAGTTTAATTTCATGAGGTTAAGTTGGATTGAAAAAAGAAACTCAATAGAGGAGGGGTTGCTTTGGCTTCTCTTATGTGTGTCATACGTAAGTGCTGGAAAAAGCAAAAGAAAAGCTAACGGATAAATTAATTATAACATGGATCCTTTAAAGAGAAAATGATAATGATGGGAAATACAATAAAAATGGAAAAGATAATAATAATAATATTCATATTCGTATTTTTTCTATTCGTATATATTTTATATGTATTTTTGAAAAATTTTAATATATGTAGTAGTGGGAACAGCCTGCAGATAGGGACGATGTAGATGATAAGTTGGGCCATGTAGGTCAGCTTTGCTTATTGGGGGCTTTTGGAATTCAGTGGCAAAAGGGATCTTGAAATTACATGACTGCCCTTGAGATGGATATCATTGACCTTTAATTAATCACACAACTCTCAATCCCAAGCTTTCCTTTAACAACGGTATAATTAGCTTAGCCTTCAGGGGATGCTTTCAATAGTTCTTGTACTTATCATTAGGTGCTACCTTTTACCACATATCCCCCATAATGCTCTATGAAATTCGATTAAATATGTCTAAACCTAGAATTTACATTAAAAAAATACTAAAGTGGAGATACTACTACATGGATATAAAAATATTTTACACTTATATTATATGTAGAATTATCTCTTCTATAATTGTTCAGCTTTTGAAACTAAATTAAACCCATAGTCAGATTCTTTTTTTTCTCCCAATATTAACTTATTTTTAATTTCCTTAGTTTAACAGATTATATATTTATGAAGGATTTTTTTAATATATTTTTACAAATTTATTAACATAATTTTTACACACGTACACACACATATATATATATATATATATATTGAAATAATTTTTGTTTACACAACATTAATTGTAATAACGTTTGTAGTTAAGAAATACTAATTAATTAATAATTAGGTGTTGTTAACAAGTGTTTTTTTTGGGGGGGGGTTAACCATGTTATTAAATAAAGTAAATATTAAATAATATTCTATATTTTAATATAGTAATTATTTTTAGTTTTTTTTTTCTTTATCTATGATATTTAAAGGACATTCGTTAGTGTAGTATTTTACTAATTTTGATCTAGTTAGTTGATAATATGATGAATTAATTATGTATTTTTATGAGATGAATTAATTACTTACGGTTAGATAGGTGAGTTTGTGAAGGCAAAGACCATTTATGAAGGGAAGTAGCCGATGACAAATTCAGTTAGCTTCAACCTAACACAATAAATAGAATGAATTTTTTGATAAATAAAAATCTTGTAACTCCACATGTTTCACCAATTATTTAAATTTTTATTAGGGACCATCCACAACGGTGTGTACAATGAGGTGACTGTACGAACAAATGGTTATCACTAACTATATAGAGTTATTGAGTCAATTCTTCCCTTTTCTTCTTCAATGTGAATAAATGTTCAATTAGATATTAGATGTAAAAGAGGAGAAGGTGATAAAGCGAACTTTATTTTTTTATTTTGTATTTTTTAGATCTAAGACTTCACCATTAACTTGTAATGACCCCACAACGTGCTTCAACGTGGTGGACTTTATGAGCCAATATTATTTTATTTGGCATTTTACCGGAAAAGAAAATTGTATGCTTTCAGAATTTTGAACTTCAATCAAAATGACCATTTTGTTCACTTAGACTTCCATACAAGAAACGACCAAGAATACAAATGTACTAATCTTTCTAAATTTTGAAAAAATTTCAAATATAAATTAAAAAATATTGAATTATGAGAGGTGTACAATAAACTACATAGAATTTGCAAAATAAAAATATTTAAAATTGTAAAAATAAATGCATAATTAGGTTAAAAGAACTTGAATTTAATTAATTTATTGAAAATAAGTTTAAAATAATACGTCTCATTCTTTAAAAATATATTGTAACTATATATTGGAAGATAGATACTATCAGTTTTTCATTAATTGTAATATATTATTTGTTTTTTCATTTATTATAATAAAATCAATATCGTCAATTTTATATTTATTGACATCAATTTGATGAATTTATAAACAGATAGCTAACCTAATTAAGTAAATAATACATAACTCTTTAAAGGAAGAAAATGAATATTTACTTTGTTTAATTAATTGATATAAGATCATAAATATTTCTTAACACGTTTTGTTAGCACTTTTTTTATTAAAAAAAAAAAAAAAACTGACGTAGTTTGTTTACCTATTTCTAACATTCTTTTAAATATGATAAGTGTGACCATATATGATAATATAATTTTTCATGTTGAAAATTGATTTCAATAAAATGATTTACACATACGTATGTATGTACGTATATGCAACCGAAACAAATAGAACTCAATTATTGAATGGACGACAAATGGATCAAGGTAAGATATAATGCCAAATAGTGGGACCCGAATTAATTCATTATTTATAAGTGCATTTATCACCATTATTATGTTTTCTTTCCATGCTTGTTTATTTTTAATGGTTTAATTTGTTTGAAGTTGTTATACCGGCGCAGTAGAATATGTTCACAGTTGATAGAACATAGATAATTTAAAAAGGAAAGAGAAAGTAAAAGGATAAGCTAGAAATTATAAAAGGGTATGTTAGTACTTGATGTTGAAGAGTGTAAGGTAGGTAAACATGTATCAAATGATGCAAGGTGACACCGTGTAAAAATTATTGCTGCATATAAAGAATTATATTATATGGTTAAATAATTGAGAAGTGAGAGAGAGAGAGAGAGAGAGATAGCATTCATTTTCTTTTGTTTATGCGTATATGTTAGCTGGTTTGTTTCGTATTGTCGACCCTATTGTGCGCTGTAAATACAGAAACAGAAAAGTTGCATTGCCTAAAATTATTCCCTGTGGCTTTTCTATCTCAATATATATTAGCCCCTTGTTTTATCTTTCAACCATGCTTGAATAATGTGCATGCATATGCAACATTAATTGATGCTGAGGAATCTGCTAAAGTTTCGTGCAGCCAAAAGAAGACACTAAATCATAAGAATATCATTCAACCCGTAGAAAAGAAGCTCTTTAGCCACACAAGTTCATTTTAGTCCTAAGTCTGATAATAACACGCATCCTAACCCATCAAATAATCACAAGGATGGAATATAAACGAAAAATTTTAATCAAGAATTCAAAACAAACACAATAAATGACAAAAGATATTATTTTCTATTCAAAATAAAATATCAACCATGTTATTTTAAACAAGAGTACGTTAAACGTGTTTTTAATCTTTCAAAATATCATAAATTATAGTTTTAAATTCTATATAAAAAAAGAAACCACTATTTTTAATCTTTCTGCTCGTTTCATGGTCTTTTCCCTCCTAGTTTCTATGGGTGTTTGCATTGTCTAGCACTAGCACCATGACCACACCAGCCCACCTGTAATCTTCGTCTAGATGGTTCAAGAGCAACCAGAGTTGAACTCCAATGTCCATCGACCACAACATGAATTATTAAAAAATACATTTTGTTTTAATTTATACAGCTCATATATATATATACACATAACTAACAACTTCGATCATGCATGTCGACCCCTTGTTGGTAGGTACGTATATGCCAAGCTATACAAAGAAATAAGTTCCTATGACCATCTGCTTTTTGGCTATTGTGAAAATGAACTTAAATATATTCAATCATCTCTCCCATATATTTTATTCAAAGTAAAATTTAACGTTGAGCCTTAAAAAAACATGAATATATATATATATATATATATATAATTACCAATTTAATTTCTAACTTAGTGGATGAACAATTAATGAAGCTATGTATATTTATATGAGCAGACATTAAGCGTGCTAGCCTGGAGAGTTGCATGGCACGTACAACTAGTACCTGAGATGTGCCTTGCTGGCTTAGGAGTGATGCTTAACGTGGAGGGCATGTGAATGCTCCCTGCAAATTATGTCTTCCATGTGGTTTACCCTTCAAATTTATATATACATATATGCCTTTTACTCCAAACCCCTACCATATGCTACCTTAATTATTCTTATGTCAATCTAATTTATTTCCAGCTAAAACGATTGTGGTGAACATGTATATAACCAGAAAGTAATTAATAAATTCCGAAAGGAGTTTGATCCAATCGCATTCCTTAGTGAATATATATATTATTATATAAGACTAATGATCGGGATGGGTTATCTTTCCGTGAAGGAAATCTTATGATTGTGACCCATTAACCAAGGATTTCATAAACAATTCCATTAATATCATCTCATCATATATGGTCATTTGGGAGAGATTATTAATATTATTGTGTATATCTTCATCATACAAAAACAATCTTGTTTAACTAATTGCCCTCCTCTGCCTTCAAGTTAATCATTAAATCACGGGATCAGTGCCATGTAATTTCATTTGGCATGTCCACAATCGCATTGCGCGCGCACACATATACAGCTCTTAATTAAAATAATATCCTAAATAAATAAAATGATAGTTATATAGGGATATTCAATTCATTATAAACAACGATTATTTCCAACAAACAAGTCTATCAAATAGAAAAAGCTTCTAATCCATAGAGAGATTGAGTTTAGAGTATCCTTTTATATATACTAAGAAGAAATACGCTGCATTACAAAAAATAATAATAATGTTTTTTCTTGTTATAATTTATATGAATGGGTGGTTTTTCATTTTTATAATCATATGTAAGATTATTTGAATGTATATGTAGTTATTAAAAATAAAATAAATAAGAAAAATATAGACATCAATTGAAGTTTTAAATAATATTCGCTAATATCAAGTCAATCCATTTTATTTTATGAAATTTTCAACCGTTGTT